CACCGGTTCATGCAGTTACAAGCGACTTTCAAAGGGCGAACATTAGGCCAGGACAAAAGAGGCGCGCGCGAGCGAGACTGCCCCGGGACCGAGTTGTTGCTGCCAGTGAGTTCACACCCAGGACAGATGCACAGACGTGCGTAAGCGAGCGCGAGCACGACGACAAAGGAGAGCCGATGGGCAGCAATGACGACTGCCCTTTAAATAACGAGGCTGCGAGCAGAACGGGACACTCTGTTGTTGGAGAAGCTGCCCACTACCTGAGACTGTTGCCCTAGACGTGAGACTGCTGCCGAGACGAGACCGATCACAGAAGACAAGCTGCTGGACACACAGGAAACAGAGCTGCTTTACTATTACAACTAACAGTAAAGTACTAGCTGTTATCCTGTTCTGCCTTTTCTTCCTAACACGTAACTGGGGGACATTACATGTGTTGACACAGGAACACACTAGGTTATAGCACTTACTTGTGAAGCCTGACTGCCAAATAATGCAGAATTGGCACATTTTGTCAGGATAGGGGCCTGCCGATGGTCATGCAGCAATGGGCCGCCAAGAAAGAAATGTGTTGCCTGCGTTTTTTCGAGGCACTGATATCTGGGATCGAGTGAACTTTGCCACGTGCTTTAGGTTTCGATCACGAAGTTGTTGGTCGAAGTGTTGTTCAGGTTAATTCTCAGTTAATTTGCTGTATGGAGGGACTAAAGTCCACCTATCCTTTGGTAGAAAGCAGATTTTTATTTCGAGGACTAAAGTTCCTGTATTGTGGCTTCGCGTCTGCGGGCTAGGATGACTTTCATGTTGTAGCCATAAACCGAATAGTTAAGACTTTGCGCGCTTTCTATAATTCGGTATCTTTTGAAGTCATGTACTACAAAGAACAAGTGCCTTTTGTCGTCTGATTCTACCATTACAAGTTGAAAAATCGCGTCACCGATCGCTGACCACGATTTCGATCTGACCCGAGTCAGTTTTCGGAAATTCAGCAGTTTCCGATAGTGAAGAGACTGCAGCTGCAGGTACTTTCTCCTCTTAGTACAGTAGGTTTTATTCTAAGGAAACGTAGGGTTCACTCGCGTATTTGAAATTGTTACTCATAAGCTTTTGTGAGTATTGGTTGTGTCGCCGTGCGACAGATCTGCCTGCTCCTCGATTTCAGCAGTACTTTTCGGCCATACTATTAATGCGGGATGATTTTCAGTTTTCTGTTACTATAATTTTTCAGCCTCTTTCTTATTATGCCTCCTCTTGTTGTATTTTCCTTTTTCCCTATGCTTTTACCGTACCGAAATATAAAATGATACCGTTCGGTGGAAGTCCAGGCGCTTGACCATGGGGTCTGGAGCCTTTTCGTCTTATGCTCCGCACACTTCATTGTCGTCTTTAGGCCCATTGTACTTACCTTAATGGGCAAAAGTAGCTTATGTAGCCCCGCTCATATACCCCTTGTCCCAGCAATTTGTCCTACGAAAACGGTGATTATAGAGTTTTGTGGGGTGGGGAAATAGGATAGGCAGAG